CATACGTCAAGCACTCCGTTGCTCTTATTGGTTGTACGTCTGTCCAATTGAGTGCAGAGGCATTTTTTTCCTGGTTCGTTCAAAACACGCCCCATAATCACAGCTCTATGGAGTAGTATCAGACTCATATTCTGACTAGAATTGAGTAGGACTACGTCAGGCTAGGGCCCCGCTCCATCTCGCCATCAATTTGGTGGTCCTTGGTCTGGAAAACGTTGAAGACCCCTTTACTATACTATAGGATACATCAGCATATACATGGATTTTCTTGGTTAGTACATCCACCAACTTTGAAATTACCTGTGAAACATCTTCCCACAGATGGCAAACTGTGGCCAAATGCTACACAAATTTTTATGGTGCATCCCGTGGGAGTGGGGAGTACCAATATGGCGGCCGGTGGCTTCACTTATTTCGGGCTATCAGCAATCTAGTAAATAAACAGAGATCAGTAGATAACTTTCATGCTTTTTAAAGTAAACTGACTAATTTTTGACGAATGAAAATATTTATTTTTTCTAAATTTGGTTCAAATAGTACAACTAAAGCTATCACCTTAATGTTCAAATATTAAATAAAACATAACTGCAGAGGAAAAGAAAAAATTAATCAGTCTAAACTATTCCAACAGGAATGAGCACAACATCCACGTTTTCAAAATAAAGACAATCTATACTTTCCTACAGCCTTTGTTAACAAATAGACACATATATCTAAACATCCATGCTGTCTAAATAAAAGGTAGTAAAAGGTGGTGGACAAAATTTCTGGGGCGATCATCTTTCCCATTTTCATTACTTACCTACTTTTATCAAAAATTTCTCTACATAAAATTTATATTTACATGTACTAATATCTATATTAAATAGATTTTTAAAGTTATTATTAAAGTAGTTATTTATCTATGATTTCACTGAAGACTCCTAAATGACTTCTAGAGAATTTTCTCTTTACCCCATTTAACATAAGATTTAGTTCTGAAGTGAGCATGAATTGTGTATAAATCAACTTTAATGTTAGTATTTTGATTTGTATAATTAACCACAGCATATTAGTTGTCAAGAAATCTTTAATATATGAAAAACGTAAATGTTTAATAAGTCTGAACATTCCCCTGAAAGTATTACTGCTGCTACCAACTTTATTAGAGGGCGAAAAAAAATGGTAAAGGTGGCCACAGGGGTGGCGATGGCCACCTCTGGCCCCCCATCTTGCTCCGCCCCTGAGCCAGTGGACATCATCAATAGAATTTTTTTTTTTTGCATTATGCCTTGAATATGTAGGGGCACTAGCCCCTGTTGGCCCTTCTCTAGAACAGCCCATGAACAATCTTTGACTGGAGCAATAAGAAATGGATTGACTTTTATTAAAGAGGTGATTATTCACTGTAAACATGTAGACAAAGTAAAAACTGATAACGATTTAACAGACAATAAAAGTAAGCAACCTGAAATAGCATCAAATCATCCAGGATGAATGAAAGGCTATGATTGTTTTGTACACATACGTCACGGTGAGCGGGACACTCCCCGGGCTGATAGCCGCAGCTCGCAGCCCTGATTCTGCTATCAGCCTACGGAGGAGAGGGACGGAGCGAGCAGCCTGTGGCGGACGCTGGCCGGATGGTTAAATCCAACCTACAGACGATTTTAAATAGTCATTGTTTTGTAAGAGAAAAAGAAAGAAACTTATCCGAGATGCCTGTCATTGAGCAGTCCGGTAATAAACCCGAAAGGTATGTCAGCTGTTAGAAAATAAAAGAGGCTAAATGCTAAGTTTTAAAGCTGCGGCCTAAGCCAGGTGTACTGTCTATTTACTGGAACGAAAGGTACAAGTCATGTATGTTGTTCACAATAACACCATTTGATAGGATAGTTTTTTTTTTTTTTATTATGTCAGGTATTTTTAATCTAGTTTGGGTTTAAAATTTGTTTAGTCAAACTAGTTCATTTAAATTTGAAGAACAGACTATGTGTTGTAAACCAGCTATTAGACAAATTCAAGTAACGTTGTTGACAGTCATGCTGCAATTAGCAAGCTAATGCTAACGGTTAGGCTAATATATGAAACGCTGTGCAAGCTAATGCTAACGGTTAGGCTAATATATGACACAAGCTAATTGGTTAACACTTAGTAGAAAAAAAACCCAGCTTTTTTATTATTCAAACACAATTTAAAACATTTCGCATAAACGATATAATTATATAGTTTAGTCTTAAAGCGCGTGTGGATGGGAAAGAAACGGTTTACTTCAGCTAGCGTTTATTGGGTTATGTCATCGATTTTGTTTTTGTCGCGACCATAAAAACAAAGTATTCTTCTTGACGGCTGTAACAAAAATAGCACATTTTTAACAGATTTTGGAGAATATCGTCCGTCGTTCTTAATAAAATATTGTGATTCTTGTTTGTTTGATTTTAGTACGGCTTGTACTGTTAACTTTATGCCAACTGACGTCGTGATAATCGTGTTTTTATCCAATTTTGCTCACACGGTTTTAAGGTGATTGAAAATGACATATTAGCTAGATTTTTTTTTAAGCTGGTTAATCAGGTGGAGTCAATAATTATCTTTAAGCAGCCAGTGTCCCCACCTGGGTAGGACTTTTATAGATTAACCTTAATGAGGATCACGCAGATTTACCGTTAAATTGAGATAAAATCGGGACACGTGAGGTTAATATGTCTTTATATATGGGTTATATGGGTTTTAGTGTGTTTTCCATGAGGAATTCTTAGACCTTGTTAAGTCTAGTCGTGTTCTGACAGGATTTTTTATTCAGGCGGTCTGTCCTGTTCTGACGTCTTTTAAAGCTCTGGAAGGAAATTTCCACTGCACTGCGAAAGGGGGTGGCATAGGGAAGACAACTAATGATACACGGTGTGCATTTGTGAAAGAACTATCATTATGATTGTTTGTTTGGCCAGTTTTGACGCATTAAGTGATGATTAACCATTTGTTTTTTCTGTCCCATTTGCATTTTGGGAAAATCTGTAGAACCTAAACAAAATCTCTAAAGATGTAGAAAATAAGGACTTTTTATGAGGGGATATATGTTATTTTTATTTCTTTAAATTAATCATTTCCTCATCATACCACCTTTATTGCCCGAAATATTCGTTTATAGATACTGGACTGAGATTAGTGTTGTCAACCTGCTAGGAAACTTTGGTACTGCTCATTCCAAGAAAGTAAAAAAAATAAAAATAAAAACAAAAAAAACAATCCTCTGACCTTTGTTTCCAAGTTTGAAGACATTTCGCCTCACATCCAGGAAGCTTTTTCCAATTCAAAATGTCAAAGAATTAGCGTAGATTTCCAAGCTTTGTAGAGTTGACCAAAACAAAGCCTTGTTTTGGCTTAGAAAACATGCAAATTAAAACAAATATACAGGTCCACTGCTTAGGAATGGGGAGTTTTTTGGTTTCTTTGTACTGATCTGGGTTGAGATGATAGCAGGGAGGAATCAACTCTATCGCTGCGTTGTAGGTTTTTGAGAGCTGAAACCTGAGCTCACCCCCTCTGTTTAAGGTTGTTTTTTCTTTCTTAACATAAATGGCTCCCTTCACACCCGTTTTAAACCACCTGTCTCCTTTTTCCAAAATGTGAACATTCTGCTGCTCAAAAGAATGTCCTTTGTCCATAAGGTGTAGATGTACCACCAAGTCTCGTGCAGAGGAGGTAGCTCCTCTTTGTTTGGCCATGCGTCTTTGGAGAGGTTTTTGGTTTCTTCAATGTAATTTAGTGTGCTGCATTTTTCTGTATCATTGAATGCTAATAAACGTAGTCCAAACATGTAAGCATTTATTGATCTAATTTAATATACCAAATTATTTGGTAGTCACATAGAAGAAAGCAAAATTAAATGAAAAAAAAAATCCAAATGTTTGGCTTCCTAATTTACCGTTTTTCTTTTTTTTTTTTTCTTCTTCTGTTCAAATCTAGCAAGTTAATAGAATAAAACAGAAGCTTTACTCCACTCAGCCAGTCTTTCCCTGTCTCTCCAGCCTTAGTAAACCTCAATTAAGACGGGTATTGTTGAGGATTTTTGCAAATCTTTTTTAACAACGCAAGTCACTACTGTTGGTAGCGACAGCCTGTGGCCACAGCAGGCCTCTGTGATAGCGAACCTCATAATGCTTTGCGAGGAGAGCGCATGCGCAGAAAACGATTGCTAACGGTGCGAGCACGTAGGACGGCCTTACGTAAACATATCACCAGAATGATTGACAATTAGGAGGACCACTTATTTAGATGATCACCCTGGAAATAAGAATGTCCTTTATACCTTTCACATGTCAAAAGTATTTTCCTTTATATAAACGCATCTTTTGTCCCCCTACTTTCTTTGACTTTTTTAAAACACCTAGTTGCTTAACAGTACATCTAGCTGTCAAAATTCACCCAGCAACAGCTCTGCTCTTACTGGTTTTTATGTTTTTTGTTCACTAGTGGGGAGAAAAATCCCAGTTTGAGTTTTCTATCCAGCCAATCAAACTGAAAATATCTTATTTTAGTCTATGACTGTTTTTCATTTTGCTGCATAAATTTCTACCTCCAAGTGCCCCCTTACGTGGCCTCCTAATGTAGGGGCAAAGATGAGTGAGTTTTTCATGTTCAGACATGATAAGCTTGCTCTTCAGAAAGAAGCTTGAAAAAAAACTACAACTAATTTGTACAACTACAACCCTGACCCTGGGCAAACACGACCATCTGAGGATTCTGCTGTAGTCAGAAGAAGTATGAACTTTGGTGTTTAATCTGACTAAGAGTGCCATTCTTGGAAAACCTGTCCCTCAAATAATGAGATTGAAACGTAACGTCAGTCATGTGTTCCAAAGCTGGTTTGAACAAGTCTATTCCAGATCTAGCACCACAGAGAATCATAGAAAGCATCTTTTTGGTGCTGCTAATGGATTCTGTTTTAAACGGAAACGCATTCTAGTCTTCAGGAATGGCGGTAAACCTATGCAGTGACAAATGAGCGTTGGTGCTAAAAATCCAAGCTAAGTGTTTAAGGAACTCTTAGTTCTGGGTGTTATTTTTCCATATGTGGAAAAGTGGGGCAACCTGTTTAGAGGAGGGATAAAGTAGGTCAATGTTTAGTTTAGAAGCCCCCACCCCCAAAAGTACTAGTAGCTGGTTTGATGGTATTTGCTTCTCACTCTGGAGACTTATGCCAGGAAACATTTAAGTATAAAAAATATATATATATTTTTTAAGTGTAAAGAAACCTACATTTTAAAAATGATTTAACCAATATATTTTTATATTGTGTCTTTTATGTCTCAGCTGTCGTTTATGATGTCGACATGGACTCATAAGAAAAGTGACCAAAAAGCTACAGATAAATGTGTAGTTCTTCAGTACTTAGAGCCATGCTTACAGCTTTCTAAAACTATAGAAAGCTTTTAAGTGATAGTTTCAGACTGAACATGGAGGTGCTAAGTAGGTCTGATTTAGAGGCAAAACAAAAATTTGAAATAAACATTTGGATTGTTAAACATGCATCCAAGTTAAAAAATAAAAACTCTGCTACATAGGATAACGATGATAAGATACTTGAACACATCACGGTTTTAAACATTTTAACTGGAAATAATCAAACTGTGAATTTACTCGTAGAGCTAATTAATCCAGTTCTTACTTAAAATTCAGTTAAAGAAAACAAAAATGGGGGATAAAGGTCATTTGAAGCTAAAGCAAACAAATGTAGTTGGTCGATAATATTTGGTAAATAGCTGACCACTTGACTGAAAGCTGACCACTTGACTGTGAATTTTCATTTCTAATTGGTCAGCAGCAATGTAGTCTAGCATAAAGCCACTTCCTGTCTGATATGTTGATGCACTTATGTTAAATTTCATGAGTCAACATGTAGAAATGTTTGTCTCTTGGAAAAGAACAGTTACTGATTGAACTCTTGCCCCATGTTTTAGTTGGTGTTTATTAACCAAGTTTAGCAAATGTTTTACTGTCTTAAATCTTTCTGTTGTGCAACGAAGACTAAACCTTCTATTTATGTTGCAAGTTTGTTTTGTTTTGTTAGCAGTGTTTGGTGAAGACTTGGCTTAAAATGGCTCCGGCTTTGTGCGCTTCTGTCTGCTTTTCCAGTATCTCCAGTCCCAGGAGGTGCTCCCGCTGTTGCAGTAACCCGTGTCCGGGGCCTCTGTGGTGCTCCTGATGCCCCTCTCCCACCCCTGAAGATCCCAGGTGGGCGAGGGAATGACCAGCGGGATCGCAATCTTTCAGCTAAGCTATTCTACTCTGTATGTTACAACAGCTGTTTTCTTTTTCATCTGACATTTGTTTCTTTCCACGGCGTCTCACCTTTATTTCTCTTTGCAGGATGCTCATTTATTGGTTCTTGAAGAGCCTCCCCCTGCAAACAGCAGAGTGCGTTTCTTGCTCTTTGAGCCCCGTCGCACTGAAGGCAAACATTGTGTCTGGAGGGCTGCAGTGAAAGGGGGGAACCTTTATGTTGAAATCCCCTCTGGAGCTTTGCCCGAGGGCAGCAAAGACAGGTCAGGAGAAAAAGAGATTTTTTCTCTGTAGCTCAACAGAAAATGTTCAGTTAGAAGAATGTTTCTTCAATGAATTTCACTTTAAAGACCTTTATCTCAGTTGATACTGTTTTAGTCTGGGATTAAAATTTGATTGTGTTTGTAATGACTATGAAAACATATGGGCAAAGAGGTAATTCACCAAATAGCCGTAGGTTGTTATTGTTAATACTGTTGTTTTTCATTAACCTATATTGAGAAAATTCCGATTACCCTTTGAGTTTTTCTGCGTCCTTTAGGTTTTTTTTTTCTTTCATTCTCTACAGTTTTGCACTTTTGCTGGAATTTGCAGAAGAACAGCTGCAGGCTGATCACGTGTTTATCTGCTTTCACAAGAACCGTGATGACAGAGGTGAGATTATGGTGCCTGGTGTTGTTTTAACTAATAACTGTTGTTTCAAGAATAACCCAGGTGATGCAAATCGCTTTGATATTTTTGTAGTTTACACTAATGCTAAAATACATGTTTTTCACATTTTGTTGTGTAGATGAATCTGATTTTTCAGCTTTTTTTTTTTTACATTTCATTTTTTTATATATAAAAAAACTTCCTACAGTAGTAGCCACTCAAAGTTTCCTCACTTTCCTTGATGGGCCGGTTCTTTCTGTCATGATTTGTGGGAATTAAGATGTAAAGAGAAGTGTCATCTCCTGGTCAGACCCTGTAATTCAGTGAAAGGGTGGAGTCAGTAAAAAAATATGCATGTCCAAGAGATGGCCAGTGGCTGGAAGTTGGAGGGCATTTTGCTGCCATTTGGCTGCCGTTCAGCAGGCTTTTGACTGGGAAGGGCCATTTTGAATGGCTGCTACTGTAGTTTGTTTAAAAATGCTGTTCCTTCAATGATTCTCCGAACTGAGATTAAATTAGCTGCTTTTTGAACCAGGTTAGGAATTAACTGGTCATAAGTACTTAAAACTGTACCATGTTTATAGCAGCCAGATTTATCACAAAACAACTCGTTTAAGTCATTGTTGTTTTTGTTTTTTTGTTTTTATTTCCTTTTACTTCTGAGCAGACTCTGTGTTGTGATTTCTGCTATGGTATTGTCTCAGATGTTTGTTTTGTTTTTTAGAGATGGACCAACATGGTCTTAAGTGTTCATGCTAATGAATTTGTCTTCCCTTGCCGTTTCTCCTCAGCATCCTTGCTGCGTACCTTCAGTTACCTGGGCTTTGAGATTGTTAGACCGGGTCATCCTCTCGTCCCCTCCCGACCTGACGCTTTCTTCATGGCTTACAGCATCGAGCGAGACTCCTCTGATGACGAATAAAAATAACGCTGAGCAGTTACAAATGTTTGTTCCCATTTCAATCGATACAATTCATCAGTTCTAGAAATGAATATATTCTAGTCATCCAGTGTGGTTGAGGTTTCCTGTTTTAAGCTCGTTTATCATTGCCTTTACCTTATGTGTGCTGTTTCAGTGAAGAGTTGCACAAAAGTTTAAATGTTTAACAGAGCAGGGAAGTAAAGCAGAAGCCTGGATGATGGCAGGGCATTACATTCTGACCATTCAATTTGTCATGTTCTGGTTTTGTCCTACCCCTGAAATCTATCTCCAGTGTATTTAAGATCAATCAGAATCTTACTCATGTAAGTAGGTGTTTTCGTAGTAATTATCAGTTGATTTTGCTGTTGATAACTTTTTTTTTTATGTGTGCATGGTTTTAATTTTTTGATCCACTCAGTAGAGATCTGCATGTTGTAACTACTAATAAAAGTGCTCACCTTATAATGTGTGGTCTTCTGATAAATGTAGTGAAAGACTAGCATTATAGACTGTATTGGAGTTTCTTTAATCAAGCACCATGGGAATAATGCAACACTGGAAGTTGATCCAGGCATCGTTCCAGAAATTATATGCAAAAAATTCTGCAAGAAAGCAAAAGGTCCTGGTAAGTTTCTGACAGGACCTTTTCTATTTTTTATTTTATCTTATTTTTTATGGATTTGTTAAGAGAAATTGGTTGGAAAAAAACGAAACAAAACAGCCCAACATATATTCAAAAAAAACAAAAAGCCTCTTTTTTTTTTTTTTTTACACAGAATTTTGTTTCTCTGTTATTCTAAAATTTTGCCCATTGTCCTCAATAAAATTCTTAGCTAAACGGCACAGATAATTGCATTTGAAAGATCCGTTGAAAGCAAACTACTGAAAATTCCTTTAAATAACTAGAGTACTGTGAATTTATGGACATTTCTTAAAGTGTAGATAAAAGTGTTTTGAAGCTTGATTAAAATGCTGCAAAGCAAAACAACCTTATTTTTAATCACTTAAAGACTTCAACATCTGGCCGGGTATTTCTGGCATCCTTCATGCCAGAAATAATGGAGCCTTTTGGTTTTTCTGACAGAAACCTGGACTTTAAGTCCAAATAATATTCCACTGGCCTGAGGTGGCATAGAAGATTCATCTCAAGCCTAAATCATCCAGTTGGAGTTTTGCTGGTAAATGTAAAAGAGTTAGTTTGATATTTCAGGGTCTTCATGTAATATACAAACTTAAATCATCACAGCATGATACTACCACTCTCATGTTTGATAGCTGGTACAATGTACCTCCATTTAAAACATGTTGTTTTTTGTTTTGTTTTTTCAAGGTCTTAATCCACATCACTTAATCCAAATATGACCGTTTGGATTAGATATTGGAAATTTAGACAACTGCATTTTCCTGCTGTCATTACGTTTTTGTTTTTTTTTAACCATATTTAAGTCTACAGTCAATGATGGAAACTGAAATCCATGATTCTATCAGAAGCTTGCTGATGGATATAGAAAGAATGTGGTTTTATATTTGTGTAGAGGCATGTTAACTTTTGATCAACTTTGAATGTGTAAATTACAGCCACAACTGTATCCTTTCAGTTATGCTGTACTTAGACATGACTTGGTATCATGGCAACTTTAAATTAGTGAAAGCAGCACATTTCAATGGGCAAAGCTACAAGTACTTGCCTTGTATTCTAACATCATCTCTGTCCAGTTACTAAAGAGAATGCATGTAAATAAGTCATGATACATGAGATCATTTGACAAGTTTGTTTATTTAATGATCTCAACTATTTGGGTATAAAGTTTGTAAAGATGATGAGTTTTCATTATTTCAGTAAGTTCAGAATCCTATCAGACCAGTTCAAGTCCATATAGAAGCAGGGACTAAAAGGCTTTAACGAGGCAGCAGTCCAAAAATAACCCAACTGAAGAATCATCTCAGGATGCTGCAAAGCTGTGTGCCCACACCCACTACTGTTTCAGAGTCGGTGAATGACAGGTACTTCAGACACATTAACACCTCCCAATTCAGACCAGACTGATCCTGAATCAGTCCTACCTCTGCCAGCTTCATCACCAGCAGGGCTCGTTTGACAGTCAGCCATCTCTGCACGGCCAGCATTGTAGAAAAGCCTTTCTGTTCGAAGACGGACACCTGGGGGCCCCAGAGGAGCACCTGAAGCATGGCTATAATGTCTGTGACCTGGGGGCTGCTGTCACTCTGAAGCAGAGAGGTAAAATGTTGAAGCCCCTTTCGGTATAAAGACTGATATGCTTCAATGGGGCCTTCCCGCTGGCGCAGACAGAACTGAATTAGGGCTCCTATTTGGTATTTAATGGCGGTCAGGGGCTGAGGGGCTGAAGAAGCAGCAGATTGTGGCACTACTAGCACACAGGGCGAGCCATATTTCCTCCACAACTCTTGGACTCTGGGACCATCCCCTTCCTGGGTTTCTAGCCCCTGACTTCTCTCCCTGTTGGGCCAAACCAGAAGGATCTCTCTGGGCCTGAGCTCAGCTGCAGTGCCACTGTTGTACAGATGGTGTGAGCCCATTAGAACCTGCAGCAACAGAACACACACCTGTCTCTCATAATCCTTACACGAGCAGCTGTCCAGTACAAAGTCCTCCAGGCTGGTGTGCGGTAGATCACGCTCAATGCTCACACAGTGTCCTCTCTGTAGGAGAGACTCAACTGTCTCATTGCTGCCTCTGTCTGGCGGGTTAGAAGCCCTGCAGTCTGACTCTGCACAGGTGGGAAGATCATTGGTAGGGCTTTCCTCGTTTATGCTTGGCTGAAAATAAGCGAGGACGTCTTGCACATTAGCATGCAACCGTTCTTTGCGACGAGCTGAAGGAGCACTCTTGGTCCCTTTGCATACCTGCAAAGAAAAAAACATTTTTGCAATAGTTTAATAAACTCTATACAAAAGAGATCTTGTAGCAGCTGTGGTGGCTGTTGAAAGGAAGTGAAGTGGCACCACAACAAGTGGAACATTTGCAAATGTCGATAACAATCAGTCTTGTCTTCAGTATATAGTGCTTTACATTTCAAACCAAATCATTGTGGTTGTGTTAATGCTAAAGTATTGATTCACTAAAGACCATATATGGAGTAAGAGAAGGGCAACATTACCCTCAAACCAAGCACCCTTCCAGGAAACTTGGGGCTCTGCAGGCTGTAGTAAGTCTTGTCTCCAACTGTCTTTGGCTTGGCACCCTGACTCAGCAGAAAATCCTGAGGCTTGTATGTGTCAGGTTCCTTTTCTTTCACCAGGAGGCTTCGGTCAATAACACCCTGAGCCATGCTGCGAAGGAAAAGCAGCTGATGATGCTGAATCCTCTCAGAGACAACATCCTGGTCCTGAAAGTTCCCGAAAATGGAGAATAGATCTTCATCTGGCGTGGCAAAGGACAGCTGGGAGAAGGACGGTAAGGAGTTTGGACTTCTGGCTGGTTTAAAGTCTTCACTTTCTTCAGAGATAAAAGTACCAGGTATCGGCGCCATCATATAGAGAGGATTGTCAAAGTTCTGAGGATGCCTTGGCAGAGGAGAGAGTGGAGAGAGCGAGCAGGGTGCTGGCGGGTCGATACCGGGAAGGGAAAGGGTCCTGGTTAGCCTCTTCTTTGGAACAGGTGGTGGTGTGCCATCAGAGAAGAATCTCATCTGGTGTTTGAAGGGATCTGGACCACACATTGAGAAACGCAGAGGAAATGGATCAGAACAGTATCAGAAGCTCCAAAAAATATTTTGATCATCTTTTAGTCAGATCCTGATTAACATATTTCTTTAATGGCACATTCTTGTGCATTTCCCATTCGGAAGAATAAATAAAACTATGCCCTGATGTAAAATCATATTTATACCTCAGAGGAAACAGGAAATAATAACATGGTGGTGGTCAAGCAGTTAACTCTGTTCGTGATCATCACTGTATTCTGGACAGCTTTCAGTCAGCGTTTTGTAAATCTCACTCTACTGAAAAAGCTCTTCTTAGAGTCTTAAATTATATTTCCATGCAGTGTGACGCTTTGCCGTAACAGCTGGATGCCCATCATTTCCTGCAAGTCTTTGTAGTGTGAAGATAACTTGGATATTGCTAAAAGTAAAAGTCTCAGAGTTTTACTTCCTCTCATCTGTTTTCATATTTCAAAAGACAAAGTGAAGACAGGAGTGAACCACTCCTTTTGTCTTTTCCTCTCATCTCCATCAACTAAAGCCATGAACTTATAAAATCTAGCTCTGAATTTAAACGATGTATCGATGATCACGCAGAAGATTGAGGTGATCCCTCTTTAAGCCTACCGTAGCGTTGGTGAATTGGACACTGGGCTGCATGACAGTCGGTGGGTTGAGAGAAGACGTCGCTGTATCCCAAGCTGGGATGCTGGAACCCAGTTGGACTGAAAACAGAGTCCGACTCCATACTGGAACGCCTAAAATAAGAAGAGGTTTTTTTTTATAGCTTGCATTTTTGCAGAAACCAAAGTTTTGTGTTTTTGCACAATATAGTATTTCTACTTCTAATAAAACATACATGATAGAATACCTAAATATGCAATAAAGGAGGATCTGTGAAGATATTAGAATGCCCACAAAAAAGAATTTTATTAAATTGAAAAATTGATAAACGAGAGACTTATTAATTGTTTATATTACCTGTGCTGTTTGACAGGCAGAATTGGTGGCTGATCCCTCTCTCTGCTAGCAGACGCCATCAGGGAACTTGCAGTTTAAGACCTTAAACCTTTCCCTTCACCTCCGATAAATGCTCTAAACACGGCACAGAATGAAACTCAGGAGGCCGACTCTTTAAAGACTTCCCATCTCAGTTTCTGCCTCATCTGAATGGTTGGTATTTTGGAGCAAGTCTTCTTTAGAGGTGTTGCCTGGCGGATGTTTTACTCTCATCAGTTTTTTTAGTGAGAACTTGAGGTTGGCACCGGAAAAGTCGTGTCTGTTCTGAGGGCAAAGCTGCTCTCTGAGCTAACCTCAGCTCCGACAGAAAGAGGAAGAGCAGTTACAACAGAGTGCATTCACGTTGCGCTCATTTCTGTCTGTTCCTCTCAGGTGAAGTTTTGATCACCCTGAGCAGACAGAGCATGAAGTTATATGGATGATACAGTTAAAGCATTCTCATAAATATGCTTCCTGAGATGATTTTAGAAGTGAGAAAAGCTAAGAGTTTAAAGGAAAATAAAAGCTTTCAGTAACTTTAAGTAAGTTGATCAAGAAAAGCCATCACTTAAAAAAGAACAAAGGGGGGAGGATGGTGGTTTCAGCTCCCCTAGCATAAACAGCCCTGTCTTACAACTCATTACAAAGACTTTGAGTTGAAAAATTTTCAGAAAAACTAAAAGTTTCAGTTGATTTTGTTTATTATTTTCAGGTATTTTAATCAGCTTTTTATTGATGTTTATCTACTGACCAAGTGTGTAACTGGCCTGCAAGCAGACA